GTACTCATTTTGGTGATACTGAAAGGCCTTTCTGAGATTAACCTGAAAAATATCTGGACTCTTTCAGATCGGTCATATTGATGGAGATCCCAGTCGGAAAGGAGCTTTCCCTGTATCATTTGTGCACTTTATTGTTGACTAAATTGCTACTGATAAGTGGAGACATTTCTCATTTCCAGCGGTCACAGAAATAAGTTTTGCTCTATTTCATTTCATCTACCTGTCTGCAGACACCTTGCCAGAGCACTGCCCAAGTCCTAGGTACTGTAGCTTACTTTTTTATTGCCGTCGTTCTGATTTGGGGACTTTTAAAACTTTTTGCTATGTGAAAACTTCTCATGAGCAGTTTACACTTTAAAAAAATCCAACAACCCTTCCTGTATTTTTCGAGGTGAGCTGAAAAGCTTTAACAATCAAAATCCATGTAAGCGTGTGAACATGACAACATTACGAATGTTCTTTTCGATCAGTTCACTGTAATTTTATGCTCCCTTTTGTAACATGACAATACCACAGTTCAGTGTTGCTTCCCCAGTCAAAGAAATTGTGTGCATCTGAAACAGGGCAGTGGATTTATCCAATTCCCGATACCACGTGAAGTGTTGGAACCAAAACACGCAAGCTGCTGCGTAGTTCTAAATTGGGACTCATTCAGCATCTTGCCATACTGGCTGTCATCCAGGATGTCAACTATTACTGAAGAAACAATTTCAGTCGGGTGTCTTTGGCCAGGTGAAAGTGAAAAAGTATTTCAGTTTACCACAGGAGAAACTTCTTTCTTTCGGAATGGATGTAGATATTTGCTTAAAGTTATCTGAAATCTGTGTTAGTCGTTGAACTTTCTAGTTCTAATTTTGTGAGCTTGAGACTGTTTCATTTTTCTACGCTGCACGTGTGTAGAACCTGTTTTTCGAACGTTCTTTATGTATGTTACATCCATTTTGGTCATTTGATGTGACGGCTGCTGGTTAACTAAACTATGGCAATATGAACGAGTTACTACATTAACTCAAGGATATGAAAACTGCACTTCCTGAAATGTACTTAACTATGATGATGGATTGCAGAGCATTTCTTACGTTTGTCTCGTGGTGTTTAGACTTTGTTTTCAAAGCCTTGCATTTTCTTAAATCATCCAGCAACGTGTTCACAGAGAGAACATACTTGGTGGAATACTTAGATAATTATCCTCGGTTAATAAGGTATCTGACACCTCACTAGTACACTACATTATGTTCTGGTTTATGAAATTTGTGTGCCACTACCTTGCAAACGACGACAGTTTGCGAACTCACTCTGTATTTATATAATATACCCACATATATGGTAGCTACACTGTTGTTGAATTCGTTTTACTAATTTGTGAACAAAGGCTAGGCCACGGACGGTTCCCAGTTGGTGGATGGAATACAAAACAGCAATACAAATCTGGCATCGTTTTGATATTTGTATATTGTGAAACTGCACCACTTTTCGCTTATGCTACAGGAAACAACTGATGGCATAGGGTAAGAAAAATCAATGTCTAGGTCACATTGGCTTTGATCACGTTTTGTGAATATCGTATCTCTAGATTTATCAAGAGAACTTTGGATTTCTGACCAATGGTGTTTAAATTGGCCGCTTCATGTTGAATGGAATGGAATGGAATGGAAAACAGGCCACCCCCGGATACGCTTATTTGGAGGAAAAACGCATTGCGTTAGTGCTGGAAGAGCAACACCGATCCTACCTTGTATCGCCTTTCCCAAATGGTACAGTTGGTTGATAGCCTCTCAGATGTGCGGGTACAGCCAAGGATTCGCGTAACTTTCATTTCCTAGATGCTGTTGCTGCAGTGGAAATGGGGAACAAACTGGAACGTTTCAAGATATTTTTGTTGCAAGTTGAAGCAAATTAGTCCGTATTTTCCAAGTCTCCCGCAAAATTATCGATAGAGTAATAGTTTAGCACTAGTTTTATTCACTTACTGATGTATGTTCGGTTTGCAACACTATTTTGTATGTTTCTATCCCTGATAGAGTCTAGAGAGCAAATGGGCATATTATTTTGCACAGATCTCCTAATGTACAGTATTTTTAACACAGAATCTTATAGTGTATGTAACAACTCGTAAAGTTAAACAGTGATGCAAATTTTTCCTCGAGTTCTGCTAGAAGAGGAACACACTTTAAAATGTCACAACCTTGTTCACTGATCACTTGGAAACTAGGAAATTTGTAGAATACAACTTAATAAAATCTTGAGGACCAATAAAGAGCAGCTAAGCAAAATTTATCCCTGGATTTTCAATGTTTCTCAAAGTTTGCTCCTCTGGCAGAGGAAAAAGAAATTCTAGAGCCTGTAGATATCTATTTATAATATAAAATTAAGAATTTTAAGTCCAAAATTTTGGCATATTTCATACAACTTTTCAAATCTGATTGAAATAGTGATTCAAAAAAACCTGTTAATAGACAGACTATTAGGTTGCTGTGTTAACTGTTTAAAAAGGAGCAAGTGACACTTAAAATGCAGCTTAGAATGCTATGAGATGTATAATATTCAATTCAGTTGTTTTTATTTTGTTTAGTTGCAGAGCAACTGTATATATTGTATAACCTAAAATCAACTCTTATTTTCAATGTCCTGGATGCAGTGATTTATAATTAGAGCATGATTAATAAATTTTACTCTTGTAACCAGTCAAATGTCTGGAAAAATAAAACTACTTTTAAAATCATTTTGGCTACTTCTCTTCTGTTACTCTGCACTGCTTAGGAAATATTCTTTTCAGTGTGTAAAATGGGAAATACAAACAAGTATCTTTTGGATTTTTAATTGAGTATAGAAACTGTGTAGATGGCACACCTAAGATTAAATTAGAGGTGTAAAGCACCAAATGACTACCTGTTATCATAGAACGGTTTGGGTTGGAAGGGACCTCAAAGATCATCTAGTTCCAACCCCCCTGCCACAGGCAGGGACACCCTCCACTACACCAGATTGCCCAAAGCCTCATCCAGCCTGGCCTTGAACACTTCCAGGGATGGGGCAGCCACAACTTCTCTGGGCAACCTGTTCCACTGCCTCACCACCCTCTGAGTGAAAAATTTCTTCCTTTAATCTAAATCTGCCCTCTTTCAGTTTAAAGCCATTGCCCCTTGTCTTATCATTACACACCCTTGTAAAAAGTCACTCTCCAGCTTTCCTGTAGGCCCCCTTTAAGTACTGGAAGGCTGCAATAAGATCACCCTGGAGCCTTCTCTTCTCCAGACTGAACAGCCCCAACTCTCTCAGCCTGTCTTCATAGCAGAGGTGCTCCAGCCCTCTGATCATCTTTGTGGCCCTCCTCTGGACTCGCTCCAACAGCTCCATGTCCTTTTTGTGTTGGGGACTACAGAGCTGAACGCAGTATTCCAGGTGGGGTCTCATGAGAGCAGAGTAGAGGGGCAGAATCACCTCCCTTGACCTGCTTTGCTCTTGTTTCATTCTAATATCTTATGTTAAGCAGAACTGAAGTCTATGTTAACAAATTGTTCTTTAGACAAAGAGACAGAAGCGTCAGTTTTATTTTACATTTCTACAATATCGACATTAATATACAAAACATGATTTAGGGAAAAAAAAATCATGTTAAATATAAAATTCTGTATTGTCCTAGAAACAGAAGATGGAATAATTTTTTCAAGTTATGTTTGGGGAATGACGAAGTACCATGTGCAAGGCTGCATGGCTCTTCTTTGCACAGCAAGTCTTTAACCTAGAGTTGCCTGTAGCTACAGCCAGTCTGTGGTATCACAAAGGAGCCCCATTTCCTCCTCACACAAAGGCCTCTTGTGCGACACATTCATGTGCTGCTGAAGAACATCAGGACTTCTCTGACATTAAAACTGAATCAAAGGCTGTAGATAACACTTTGCAAATAGCTTGTGCTTGTTCCTAAAAAAAAAAAACCCAAACACACACATTAATGCTTTCTGTTGTAAAAGTCTTAAAATTCGTTTAAAGCAGAACGTGACCTTTATTGTTTTTTGGCAGAAAGATGCAAAATGGAGTAGCACAAGTGAGGTTTAATTTGATTTCTGTGCTCTGCAATGACACATGGGAAGCTGTTTTAAGTGAGCTCTTTCGAAACATGTCAGAGTTGTTGGCTTTCGTCACAGCATGACACGAGCATTCAGAACATCAGTTCACGTTGTTCCCTCAGTGCTGCTAAGGGTGGGTGTTGCATCACAGTACCTTGACAATGAGTTCTCCTGCTTTTAAGAGGAGATCACTTCCCTTGCTTACCAACATGAATGCATGCTCTGGTACCAGAGCTGCTACGGAATCCCTCCCTGCTCTGTCCGATCTCAAGAGGTTTGCTTTTGTCTTTGAAAACACAAACGGAGGATTGTCCTTAGCCAATATGACAGCACACTTTAGATTGCAAAAAGAGCTTTCCCAGGCCAATTTTCCTTGGCAATTTTAGGGAACGTAGGTATTTTTCCTCAAAGCTGATCAAATGCGGTCAGCAGGGCTTTTCTCCCCTCCTCAGCTAGGGCACATTTATACTCTTTTAAATTGAGCAATCCCCTTTCTGCCAAAAAGCCTTCACGAGGGCCTTGGGTTTGATAATCTCCCTTTATAATCAAACCACTGATACCTAAATTAAATCCAGTAAACATAAACTCTTACCAGACTATTGCACTGGTATACCCAGAGGCTGCATTCTTCAGAGGCTGCATCTGTTGTCTTCAAAGCCAGTAAACTTTTTCCTGCTCCCAGACCATCATCATAGCAGACCATCCGTACAATTAAATAGAGAGCGTGCCTATGCAACACATCCTGAAACCATGCGGCAAATAAAAGTTACTCTGGAACAGCCAACAGCTATTTCAGTTTTCCACCTATTTTAATTCTCTCTCTTACAAAAGAATACCTCAGATTTATTTACAGGAGGAAAGTATTCCTTGGTAAAATTATCATTTTTTTATTTGAGAGTGTCATGAATATTTTTTTTTTAAAAAAGTGGTGGTTTAACAAAATTTTAGCTTTAATTTTTGCTTCTATTTTAGAATTGCATTCATATGTGGACTATATTCCTGGCTATACTGCAAAAGCAAACATTCGTTTCCCACCTATCCTCACTCACCCTCTGTGAGTAGGATCCGTGGTACACTCTGTACCCTCCTCCGGCACAGGGGTAACTTAAAACAACTTTCTACTTTTCCAGTATTTTTCCAGACAATCCCCTGTCTCAGTTCCAGGAAGGGTACACACGAGATGCTGTTCCACAAGAGGGTATGGCCAAGGTCAGTTGCTTTGGGGTGGAGGGAAGGTAGCCATGTGGATATAGCCAGGCCACTTGTGGCCCGAGCCACAGCACGGGTCCTGACTCTTGCAGAGATCTAGTCTGGGAGACTTCTACTATCCTCCACAGTTGTGGAGCTTCACTATAGTCCCAACAGTTCCAATCTCGGACGTTCCAAAAAGGGATTGGTTAATGTTGTCCAGTACAAGGTCTCTGCAGACCTACCCTACACAAAGCTGTTCTTTTCAAGCCATCCTACCCAACTGATAATATTCATCTGCTTTATTCCAGCTATACCATCTCCAGGGTCTTATGACTTCAAGACAACTCTTTTTCAACGTTCATGGCATCAAACACCTTGTCTCTATCAGCAGCTGAAGGGTCTAAAGAAACATCCACTTTGATACAGAAGCTGTAAAAAATGGACAACGAGCTTGATGCCTGCTATGAAGCCCTTGAAGAAGAGCCCTCTACCAGAGCTCCTAAGATCCCCCTGCTGAAACACATCTCCATCCCTGACATTCACTCTGCAATCACTCACAATGACTCATGCCATCACCAACTATCACACCATGCTGAAGGCAGCTGAAGCCAATACGGAACTTACTGGATCAACCGTCCAGTCTCTGTATGAAAGATGCCAAGATTTGCCTCCAAATTACTTTTAACTTTTTAGTTAGTTGCTTGGAACTTGATACAGTGCTAATGTGTGTGTGGATTGTCACTAAAAGAGGAAGGATAGAATTTCCCCTGTAAATTCATTTCCTCCCCTCCTTCATTTGGCTATGAGTGGATTCTGCAACTGAGAGAGAAATGAGATGGCGGATGGACAAACTGTGCCATGCATGTATGTACATATATATTGTATAAATACATGCAAACGGAATGTGAAGAAAGCCAAAGCCTCAGGGTGACTCCTACCAATACTTCACCTTTGGTTTCTAGTGGTTGCATCCACAAACAATGGGAATTTATCAACAAATTACACATCTGTACATATTTAAGTCACTAATGAAGTAGTTCCTCAAATGTTGGCTGAAATCCGTGAGGAAAAATTTTGTATCCTTCAGTCAATTCTCTTTTTGGCGTCTGAAATAAATAGCTGACTATTCACCTGCAAAGGTATCTACAAATCACAGAACTCCCACCTTTTCCCCAAAGTCACAAAAGACTGAATTCTTTGCGTGAATGCAGAGAAAAATCTTTCCATCTTGGAACTCTATGAAAGAGTTAGGTGGATTAACACACTAAAGGATAAATTAAATGTCGACAGTGACACAGATGCAAAAAGCCAGAATTTGGGAAACGCAATGCAATGCAATAAAATGCCAGTGCAAGCTAGCTTAATCGCAGAAGGCTTTATCAGCTTGTGCACGCTTTCAGCTTGAAGCCAGAAGAATGATGGATAAATAAGTCTTAAAATTACCTATTTGATCTTTTCCAAAGTACAAAGGAATTTAAATAGTGTAACCTGTGTTCTCTAGGAGGACAGCAAAAACAGAACCCGAAAGAATTCAAAGTTTAACTACTACACCTCTTCCCAAGCATTGGAAACATGTTTTATTTTCTGAAGGGACCAAAGGAAAACTTTTTGGCTCTCTTCAGAGTATTCAGCTACTGAGCAATGCAATTCACTGTCCTCCTACTTGAGGCTTTTACGAACAGGCATTGCTGGGTTGTTGACGGGTCATGACTTCATAAGGCCAAGTATTTATGGTCCCTGGGGCTCTGAGGGCAACCAGAAGGAAACCACAGGGCTGCAATACAAAGCTACACAAAGGCAACTGGAGGGCCCTGGGGAAGAGACCGGATTTTTATTTTTAGCAAAAAAGCTACTTGAAGTGTGCTAAAGGAAAATAAACCACATGTAGGAAATGATGCAAACAAAAAATAGGCTTAATCAATAAAGTGGAATTATGAGGCTTTAAGGCTGGAGTGAACTCCTATTCTTGTATCAGGAGTGCAAGGCTGGAACTTTAAAGAGGAAGACAACTCGGGTATCCTTGAAAAAAACCATCCTTTGTTTTTTCCTCTCCACAACATCAACAGGAACTGCATCACTAACTCAGGCTGAGGAGCCTATGGTCCTGGCCACCAGAGTCATGCTACTTTTCCACATGGGAGGATGTCAGGACAGCCACAGAGAAAGAAAGATGTACCCAAAAAACATATAGGCTTGCCTGCCTTTTGTCTGGTGCTCTATCTCAAAAGGAATGGATTCCTCATAAATCCCACCAATCCACCCAGGAAAGTAGAGAGAGCCCTGAGGAGATATGACACAAAGCAGTGCTGCCGTGAGAGCTTTTTTGTTTGCTTGGTTTGCTTTTGCTTAAAGCCAGAAGTGACATTTTGGTCATGCAGATCATCTGTCAGATAAATAAATGAAAGCACTTTTCACCTCTCACCACAGAGACAGTTTGTCGTGAATCACTTACATACTGATCGGATGTTGAAACTTTAATGCCATATTTGGAAACTCCCATAATAAACTCCTCTTCACCTGGAACAAAAGGTAACTTTCCATCTTGCTTTGGAGGGAAACAAACAAAAGCCTTTAGTGCAGACAGAAGAACAGGAACAACGAAGACACATAATAGACAATGTGTTTATGTGTACTTCAATCCACTGCATCGGCAACATCACCAACCCTGCTCGTATCTTGCTGTGTGGCGTTTGCCTGCTCTTGCGCTCATCCAATCCCTTAACTTTACGTGAAAAACATTCAGGAGAGGTTTACACTGGACATTAGGAAGCATTTCTTTACCAAGAGGGTGGTCAAACACTGGAACAAGCTTCCTAGGCAGGTGGTGGCTGCCCCAAGCCTGTCAGTGTTTAAGAGGCATTTGGACAATGCCCTTAATATGATTTAACTTTTGGTCAGCCCTGAAGTGGTCAGGCAGTTGGACTAGTCCCTTCCAACAGATCCATATTCTATTCTATTCTATTCCATACATTACATTACATGATTCCAGAAAGGAATTTATCATGTCAGGGGGAGGTTGGGCCCCATGGTCAGATCGGATGGACTGAACAATAACGCGTGCCCTGTCATGCTGCGCTGACCCTGGGTGATCTGTGTTCCCCGCTGGCAGCCATTTTGTTACTTGGATGTAAAAATAGTTTTCGCATATGTTCAGATACTTGAAATGTCGATTTGCTGCAAGATAAACAGGCATTCTGTGCTATTAAAGATACAAATGATCAGCCACCTCATGAGAACAACCAGTTACGGCTTTTAGCACAAAAGTAAGTACAAGCGACCACAGTTCGGTAGGGATGACCCAAACATTATTCAGGTTCTTTCACGACAGGTTCATAAGTGATTGTAAGCAGAAGCTTGACATTTTCCTCTACAGGAAAACTTGTACACTACTGAGGGAGTCTGGAGGAGACATATTAGAAGATACTAATCCTAGCGGTGCTGAAGACAATATAACAACTTTCAGTTAGAATACTTGCTCAGTAATGACTCATGAAAAGGGCCTTTGCTCTGAGTCTGCTTCAGAACGGCTTTTTGGGTTCACCTTCTCTAGCTACTCAACAGGATGGAATTGAGTGTGACAGCTTTTGAGATTCATAGATTAATGTTTTTTAAAGTAAGCTACTTTATTCTAGTAAGTCTAAAATTTACAAAGAAAGATGGCAGATCATGTGATAGTATCACATATAAATACAGATAGTATCAGAATAAACACACCTAAGCTTAAGATCATAGATGTTTTGATGTTGTTGGTATTGACTTCTGTAACCCACTTACCTGAGCAACATCTATGTAATTTATCAAGTCCAATGGCCCTTCAAGACTTTTGCTCTCATTATGCTTCAGTTTTTCAATGGCACCAACATATTTAACTCTGAATTCTGCACACGTATCAGAATTACTATTGCTTTGTCCTGCAACAGAATACAACAAAGCAATTCTGAAGAATTTCTGAAGAGTAATGCTATTCTAATTGGTTTTAACGGGGCTACCTTACTAAATCCTGTAATTTTTGTAGACTTTCATCAAATACTTAACCTTACCACAGTGTATTAACTCCTCTCTTTAATGAACTGTCCTGGGTTGATTCAGAACAGCACTTGGTGAAGGCAACAGCTTCCTATGAATCCATGAGACAGCATGGTTTACACTATTTCAAACTTGGAGTGGAAAAGCTGGTTCTACTTTTATATATATATATATTTTTTTTAAAATAAACTTTTTGGTCCAACAGTGATGCACTGTGATCTGGTGAGCAAGAATAAATAAAATTAAATCTTATTTTCATTATTTCAGCGCAAATGCAAACTTATAAAAGCAGGAAAGGCAGCTTCCAGAAACCAGATTTATGCTGCATAACAGACTGATAGCACAAATAAGTTTTTCTTACTCAGTTTACTTCAAAAACAGTGACTTAATCCTAGATGAATCATTAATAATACTTTAGAAGCCTAAAGCTATGCATGCATTAGTCAGCAGGCTAACAGATTCAGTCACAATTATTAAAAATACACATTTTAACCTTTTTCATTTTCTGCTCTTTTATATGAGCACACATAAGGTTAATGTGGCTCCCCACATATCTGCTCAAACTCTGATTACATACCTGAACTTTTCGTGGAGTCTGTATCTAAACTGGCCACAGTACTAGACCTGGAAAGTCCCCCAAGACTGGAATCTACGGACTAAGAAAAAAAATAGTATCATTAGAAAGTTACTGAGAACATATTAGCAATTTTAGATGCCCTGCCTCAATTATTTTTTTAAAATAAACTAGTGTTTACATCAAGTGTTTTAATCACTTAAGCAGCACTGCAAAACGGGGAGAAAAAAAAACACCACCACCTATTTCTTTCCTGAAGTTATCTTTCTGCCTCAACGTAGATTAGACTGATATAAATGCAGCAGGAACCCTTGATAAGTCCACAAATATTCTGAAAGAAGGAGGAAATAAAAGAAAAAGAGAAAATGAACCTTAAGGTTATGTCCAGACTTTTCTGGTACTGCATCTTAACTTGAAGAAATTGACAACTACATGCTTGTCACCAATGCGTGAAATGACATAGCAGTGCAAGGGAAGTGAAACGGCACCTTGGAAAATCCAGAATATTCAACTGATCATTCCAAAACCTATCAGACAAAACGGACACATTATTCAAAACGAAGAATACTTTTCAGAGATACTGAGCAACCAACTAGCAGTGAAGAACAAACTCACTCTTGGTACCTGGCACCAGGCACCTTCTTAAAGACAGTATTTATCACTACAGAACAAACATACTACTTTTTCCTCCAAACCCTACTATGTGCTGCCAGAAACTCTTGTCTTTGTGGGCTTCGCTATAGAAGCAATCGATTATTCATCTCGGAATACAAGGGCTTTATAATGGACAGGGTTTTTTAACTCTCGTAACACAATCTGACGAATAGTAGAAGTAGAAAGTTCTCCTTGTGGAACATGCCGTTTTATGGAAATCATATCCTGCCATCAGTGGAAGCAAACCACTGAAGTGCCAACTTGTAACAAACAAAACCGTTTGCATGAACAGGCTATATACCCAATTCAGCTTACCTTGCTTTTAGTACTGATTTCACTGCTTTGTGAGCTGCTGCTGCTGTGTCGTTTTTTTCCTTTTCTAAACATTTTTTCATAATTGGATCAAGGGAGATCTCCTGGGTAGGAAAAATAAGAGTTAAAGCTGAGTTCCTGGCAAAGACCAGAGTGACTGTGTCCAAAGTGGACAAAAAC